AGCTTTCCCCCACACTCCCCCAGCCCTGCTTCCCACCCCCTGACCCCAGAACTCATCAGCTTTCAGAGGCAGTAGCGTCTGAGTCGGTGTCGGATGAGACCATCACCCAGACCATGAGCCGCTGCTGGGAAGAGAACCGGTACTTGCTGTGCCCTCACTCAGCCGTGGCCGTGAGCTACCATTACCAACAGACAGACAGGCAGCAGCCCAGGTAAGGGTGGTGGGCGCCTGGGTCACGGGGGACCCGTTGGCTTTCAGTGGCCCTCCTCTTCCCCAAGCAGGGGAGACAGGACTGTGAACAGATGGCTTTTATGAGCATGATGGGTGCAGTGGGGAACCGTGTCCTGAGGACTGTGGTCCCAGAAGAGGCATGATGGATATGCCAGTGGAGCTGGGTCTCCAACCAGGAGGAGCAATTTGCTGGCAGAGTCACTGCAGAGAGAAGTTCAAGTTCATCTGTCTCTTCCTCTCTCTTTCTCCTCCATCCCACCCTCCCCCACCCTCCCCCGTTCCTGCTTCTCCCTCCTCGCCTCGCCTTCTTCCCCTACCTGTCCCTCTGGCTACTGTCTTCGGTACTCCTGTTCCCACCTGCCCCAACCCCACAGCCCTCCCCGATGCTGTCTGGCTCCCGCCTCTGCCGCCAAGTTCCCGGAGGCTGTGCTGGCTGCCGGGCTGACCCCAGAGACCCCCCCCGGAGATCCTGGCCCTGGAGCGCAAGGAGGCGCGCTGCGTCGCCATGCGGAAGGGTGACGACTGGACGCTGATGCTTCGGGACACGATTGAGAGCCTGAGCCGGCAGCGGGTGATCAGTTCCTGAACGCCCCGGACTAGCCAGGCCGGGGCTGGCTTCCTTTAGGCTGCGGACCCGGACGCCGTGCCCTCCGAGCTCTGTGCACCTCATCCTCGTTGAGAGTCGGTGCAGGAGGTTCTCAAGGGGCTGCTGAGCGCGGTCTGGACCCAGCCGGCTGTGCTCTGTTTGCGGCTGCTCTGGGTAGTGCCCGGTCACTGGAGACGGCGGGGGTCGTGGGTGATTGCTGGCGGTGCGCAGACGAAACAGGCTCCACCTCGGCTCCAGGACTTTGGACCCCAGGCCCTATACTGTGCAGGTGGGGGCCACTCACTCCATTATCACACATTTGGGGCTCATGGTCTCTGAGCCTTAGTTGATCTGGTCCCCAAGCCACATCCAGAGGTCTTGGCCTGCCTTGTCAGAGGTTTCCATCCTGTTAAAATATTAGGAGTCCCTGGAATAAAAGTGCATGTTCTGTGTGACAGTGACTCTGCATGGGCTGTGGGCGGAGCGTGGTGGCTGGTGATGGGGGCGCCGCCGTGCGGGCCGCTCCACTGCTGCCCCAAATTGGGAAGGGGGTTGGGGGCACCTGGGGTGGTGGACGGAGCTGAGGTTTGGGATCGCCAGTCCTAGGAGGTGTGGGAAAGCATGGGTTTCAAGCTTTCAAGTTGGCCTGTGGCTCTTGTGTCAGGTTCACCATCTTTATTAAACCAAGGCGTGGCCACAGCAGCGAGAAGCAGTCCCTCTTTAACCACTAAATGACGTCCAAATGCCTACATTCCCTTAGATACCTCTGTCATCACGCTGCCCCAGAGAAGTCAGGTCGTTCTTTCCTCTGAAGACATGACAGCTCTCTCTTCTGCATGCCTTCCACCCTCCACTTGCCCCCGGGAGCCTGTCCTTCTGTGACGAGGCCACGAGTCCCGTCCCACAGGCTATTCATGCCTTGGTCCCTGTGTCCCTCATCAGCCCAGCTGGAAATAAGGACTCTTGTTTCTGAACCTTGACAAAAGCTCAATTTTTCTTTCATCTGCCCTGTTTTAAGGTTATCCACGTTAGACATTATCTCCCCATCTCTAAGCTCCTTGAAGGTAGAAACCACTGCTTAACACAACAGGTGAAAATTTTTGAATTTGCCCCTATTGATTAAAATTTTTAAAAATACGTTCTGCCAACATATGTGTACCAAGTTATGTATGGACTACACAAACCACAAGCTAAAATAGGGATGGAGGGATAAAAATAAAAGTTACCTTTACCTTTTCTCCCCGCACTCCAGTGGATTGCCTGTGGGCCTGTCTTTGGCAGTCCTGGTTGAGCGCCAGGCCTGGTGCATTCTGGAATTATCAGGGACACAGTATCAGGCAGGGTGTACTGACACTGTGTGATGAGTCTCGAAGTTTGGTCCCTGGGTCTCCTCAAAGCGGATGCTCCTGGCCCCCACCGCAGACCTCCCGAGGCAAATCTCTGGGTGTGGGTCGGGCATCCATAGTTTTTACAAATCCCTCAAGTCAGTCTTCTGCCTTCTAATTTGGGAAACCCTGGCCAGAGACTTTACGTTTACAGCTAGTTCTCTCCAACAGGGAGAGGGGCTTTATTGTCACCAGGGCATGCTTTATTCCTCCCGCTGTTTTCACAGTCTAGCCACGAACTGTTTGTGACTGTTGAGCACTTGCAAGGTGAGCAGAATGACTAAGGAACTGAATTTTACGTTTCATTAAAGTTTACTTAATTCACCTTTAAATTTCAAAACTCTTACTTGATTCAGTTATTGGAAAACTTTTAAGTATGATTGGAAAAATGCAAGTATGTGAAGCTGCTTTTTCAGCTGTAAAATTTTATGAAGTACATAAAATATAGATAAGTGTTTCCAGTGAAAATGCAATGCTCTGGTTGAGATATACCACAAGTGTAAAATACATAGTGGATTTCAAAGACTTCTAATGAAAAAAAGAAACCTTAAAAATCTTATTAATAGTTGTAATATTGATGACTTGTTCAAAGGATAGTATTTTGATATATTGGGTTAAAGAAAATATTATCAAAATTAATTCCATCTTTTTCCTTTTTCTTTTACAAGGGTGTTTAAAGTCACATATGTGACTCACATCATGTTTCTATGGACAGCAGTGATCTAGAGCTTAACCTTGGTTTTGTGTACACAGGAATACACCACGGATAGTTGTGGATTTAGCTCTATTACTGGGTTCAGATCTTCTGTGGTTTGAGATGGGGGTTAGACAAACACAGACACGTGGATGTGAACAGAAGCCTCAGGCCCTGGACTCTGGGGCCCCTCTGGAAGGCCGGAGAGGCAGGCACCACGTTGGGGGAGTCTTTTGGCCACTAGAAGGCGCTGTTGCTGCTACCCTGAGGGCTGCTGTGAAAGGACCACAGGGCATCCATCTCGTGGGTGGATCTGGGAGGAGAGCAGTGCTGTTCCAGGAGGCCCACCAGGGGCTGCCGAGGCCCTGCTTTCCAGGTCTCTGCCCCCTCCCCCTGCCGGGCACCGGCCCTGGCACCCAGGACCTGCTGAGGGCAGCCAGAGCCCGGGGTTCCTTATTCTTTGCTGCCGTGTTTCTGAGGGCCTCAGAGCAGTGTTGAGGGCCACAAGTCCCCTCACCTTCTAGATGGTTCAGGGCTCTATCCAGCTCTGAGAGGCCATCACCCCTGTGAGTGGGGACCCAGAATAAAGCCATCAGACACAGGCACAAATAGACAGGAATGATGAACTACAGGATATTCTGGCCACAGGGCATCTTGGGGCTGAACAGAGGAGGACAGGAGTGAAGGAGTGAGATGAAACATTCAGCCCTGTGAACACGTACCCAGGCACACAGACAAACACGGAAAGACAGACAGACACATACATATACATACCTACACACACACACATCCCCCTCAGTAGAAAAAAGCAAGGATCCTGCTACCAAATGACATCAGAATCAGGTCGAAGCCGTCCTTCCTTCCCCAGTCATCTGCTAACTGGTGATGTGACCGCAAACCAGTCTCTTCATCTCTGGGAGCCTGGGTGTCCTCATCTGCTAATTAGAACACTTACCTCTCTCTATCCTGTTTTGAGGATGATATGAGATCACATATTTCCAATTGCTAGGTAAATACTAACACGCCTTACAAATGCTTCTTATTATGAACGCAATTTAGTCTGCACTGAACACTTTAGTACTTTGAAGCTCTCCTGTGTTTTTTACTGACTGCTTCCTGAATTAGTCTTCTCCTGCCTTTTCCTGGAGGAAAAGTTCCTCCGTGGCCCCGCGGTGCTGCCACAGCTCCGGCTGCAGGGTTGGAGTTGCCCTGGCCCTGTCAGTGTGTCAGCACAAGCTCTGCGGGGTCATCTGGGGACTGAATGCCGTGGATTCATCGCGGTCCCACCAGGTGGTTAACGCGCCTCGTTCATTTGCAGTGCTGGGGATGGTGGAATAATTCTCTTTTTTGAGAGCTCATGATGGGCTGAGCCCTTTGTAAAGCACTTCCTAGACATTGGCGCCTTTAGTCCTCCCAAGGACTGTGTGGGAGAGTGCTATTAGGAGCTCCATTTTAGAGATGAGGAAATGAAGCTCAGAGAGGTTAAGTAATTTGCCCAAGGCCACCCAGCCAGTGAGTCCTGGAGGAGGGGCGTGAGGCTGAGTGCAGGTCTGTGAGCTTTACCTCAGCGCTGGACCAGGGTGGGGAGCTCTGGGCCTCATGGCTCGCAAGTTCTCTTCAGGTCAGAGTTTGCATGCTGGGTGGGGAGAGGGCCATGTCTGAGGGGGGAGGAGGAGGGAAGGGGACCCCTCACTGGGAGAAAGGCCATCTGGGGAGGGGGCACCTTTGCAGGGAGCCCTCCTCTAGCTCAGGGTCCCGCCTGGAGCTGGGTTCCTCCGGGGGATGCTGGGAGCTGGTGGGGTGAGCATGGTCCTGGAAGGAGAGAGGGGTGGGAGGGGTTCTGTGGCATTTTCAGCTGCTGGCAGGGAGGCCCAGCCTGTGGGTCCCACTGGAGAGATTCAGGCTCAGATGGATGAAGCTGGGGGGCTTTTGTTGGAGTTTTCTGTGTCCCCCATAAAAAAGCGGTGAGCAACATAGGGAGGGCTGGACCATTAGCCTTCTGGAAAGAGCAGAGGGCTGACTTCTGTGTCTAGCACACTGCCTTTGCCCAAGAAAGCATCTTTCTGGAACTCCCTTCTAGGCTCCACCCATCAATTCATCCACTTCCCAACCTGGGTCCCCCCCCCCAGGTGTTGTTGGGCAAACGCTGAGGGCCGATGTGGTGACTTCTAGGGAGAGAGAAAAAGTAGGAAAAGATGGGACTGGGGTGGACTTATGTGAAAGGGTAAAAGTGTGGCAGCACCCAGGGGCTGTCCCAAGGCTGTGAGGGACTGGTTCTCCAACGCCGCCGGAGCACAGGCAGCCCTCCTGCCTCCTCCTCTTCACATCCCCTCCCCCTACTCCGCACTGACCGGCAGTGTTGCAGGGGTTGGTTTAGGGCCTGCTCCCCCACTAGTTAAACTTCCCTTACAGAGCTGAGAACTGAGGCCGGGCTCTGGACCGGTCAGGCCAGGCCAGGGGGAGATCCCCTGGAGCCGCCCCTCGGTTTGGCCGCTAGGGGGACCTCGGAGTGTCACCTCTCCAGCCTCCCCTTCATCTTGTCAGTAGCGTGGATCACCATCTTCCCCCGACCCTGATCCTGGCCTCATCCCCAAGCAGGGACAGTGCTTGCTTGTAAAACGGACAAAATAGAGGTCTTGAGAATTCAGAACGGTCAGGGCCCAGCTCTGGGCAACGCTCCTGCAAATGAAAATCCCTCCGAGCTACATTGCTCCCCAAACACCTTCCCAACCTCTGAGCAAATGCGCCCTCCAAATTCTTCTCCAAGCCCAGGAGGAGCCCAGCCGATGATGCACACGGCCAGCAGAGGGCGGCAGAACACGCTCAAAGTCTCTCTCCCTCCCAAGGTGACTGACTGCCTGCACCCTCAGCCGGATCCTCACAACCCACAGGCGTGCGGGTCTGACTTGGATCTCTAGGAGTTAGAGCCCCTGGAGGCCAGAGCGGGGAATGGGCCCCAGAAACTTTTTTTTTAGTTCACTGTTTTTCAAATTTAATATTGGGGGCTCCCTTCTTTAAAAGTTAAAAAAAAAAAGAAAAAATATACATATACACACACGCACATCGCAGATGCTCCCAATGTTGTCTTAGTTTTTGTTTTACAATCATGCTACCTAAACATGTACAAACATAAAACTTCCTATGAACTCCTTATACTGGTAACTCCTAAATAGGGATAAACAAATAAAAACTCAAATTAGTGGGAACAAATCTGTAAACAAAATCAGTAAAATTCAGAATAATCTCATTAATACACGTGACCGTCACGCGGTGCACGCCGATCTCCGGTGCCGCGTGGTCGTGGCCCCACACTCCTAAGACTTGACTGTTGTTGCTTGTGTAGTGTGTCTCCCCGCCTTTACAGGGGAAGGACTTGGCTCTC